GACTAATCCGTATTCGAGCTGGGCAGGACCCAATGGACAGCAAAACTCTCCCTCATGAGTTTTAACGGAGCTGCATTCTTAGGGGTTAAACTCAAGACCTCTGGTTAAGCTGGAAGAGTCCCAACCAACTCATTCACCCGCTCATGCGTAGATAAAGTCTATGTTGAATTGTTAGTCCATGTGAAGAAACCCATCCTTATCAGTTATCAGGCTTTTCTCTGCAATGCCTTATTTCTACCATTGTTTCTTGTTGCGTGCAGCTGGAAGTCCATTATTGATGACTGAAGAAGTGATGGATCATAGAATCTTATAATGCTTAGTTTCTTCAATGCACTTCCTCAACATTCTAACTTATAATGCCATACATATATATTTTTTAGTATTTATAATTAAGGTATTTTAAATCACCTTTTATATATTTTGAAATTAATTTCTTTCTAAACTGTTTTGGGATGCATCTTTTTTATCAATTTGGTGTATTTAAAAAAAAATAATTTTTTAAATATTAGCTCAAAAACTTAAATAACTTGATCTATAAAATAATATTTATTTATTAATAAATCAAACAATTAAAATAATAAAAATGATAATAAGAAATTTAAATATATTTAATGATTAAAGATATATAAAATAATTTTACAAATAATTTGACAAATAATTTTATCATTTTAAGTGCAGAGAACTTAATTTTCCCTTTTCTCAAAAGAATTGAAAAAGGAGTACGTGATGACTGAAGAATCTATACATTGAACATTCCTTTATCATCACTTTGATTGTAACAAGCTTGGGCTACTTTTGGACAGTTGAAGCTTGAAGCGCGCAACGGATAACTGGGCTTGATTATTAGAAAGCCGACCGACATCTCAACCAATATACAATGAGCCTGGTCCTGTGGTCCTAGACTGCTAGTCCTGATCCATGCCCAACCTCAAAATTCTCATTTCTATTTTCTATTGATGATTGTAACCCTTCTGTGCTTCTTTTACTTCGGCGCAAAGAAAAAGAAAAGAATGCCATACATATTTGGATAAAATGTAGAAATCTTATTTATCCAATAAGACTATTATGTACATGGGCAATGACGAAGATGCCATACATTGATGGGACGTCCGTGAGAAGTGGTTGTTTTCCACCCTCTATGCACCAAACTTCATCATCTTTAGTTGTTGAATCAAGTCCAGAGAAAGTTTGCATCTGCGTAAACTCTAGACAAGTTGAAGGAACCCTCTCTCCCTAAAACAATCATTTTCAAAAGTGAAGAGCACAGTACTGTGCCTGACTGAATGATTAAGAATGTAACCTGAAGGAGGTGTCATTAAGTGAATCTTTCTCATTCTAATTATTAATTAGAAAAACATTAATCGAATCATAAAACATCCACTGCTCATTTGCTTTATAAAAATTTGATCAAGGAATAACCATTCAATCAACAAAACAAGTTGATAAGAAGAATAATATCAAACTTGCAGAATTCATATTTCAACCTTATTCTAACTGGAGCTTGTTCTTCTTTCCTTACAGACTAGATATTGGAATCAAACATGCAAGACATAAAATAATACAACAAAACACACATGAAGCATAATTTACTAAAAGAAAGAGGAAATAAAAAGTTAATCTTGTAGAGTGTAGTAACCGAGAAGAGAGCCTGGAATTTCTCTCCCCCACTTTCTTTCAGATGACAGAACTTTAGTTTTGGAATTTCACTTCACAAGAGAAAGTTGAATCCTTGAAGTCTGAAGAAGCAAAATGAACCAGAAAAACAACAATCATAGGTGATTGACTTTTATTTTCACAGAAGAAGTGCACCTGAACAAGATGGCAAAAAGTTAGACCTTACATCATATCTTATCCGTCATGTTCTAGGGAAAGAGTGATGGCACCTAAAACTTGATTAAACTTTCTTCGCAATCTGACAGCATTCACTGTCACCACTAGACAAAGTGCTGCCACAATCAAACAGAGGAAGAAATCCTTCAAGCTGATGAGGCAAACCTTCATGGAGTTGAACGGCAGGAAACAAAAATGTTTCCATGGATGATCTTACTTGAAAGCTAGAACTCCCACAAAGCTGAAAGCCAATTCAAGGTCCATGCTTGGTTTAAAACGCCTCCAGAATTCATCTTCTTCATCTTGATTTTACTTGACACCGCCATCTGCAGGTTTTTCATCACTGTGGCATGTTGGTGTTAGAGGAGGCC